GAACAAAGGTAGAAGACGAACTGCATCAACAGTTGAAAAGGAGGAAGATGTATTAGAAATTTTATATAATAATCCCACAGTAAGCACAAGACGGCTAGCAACTCAAACAAATATTTCTCAGTCCGTTGCCTAGGGAACAGCAGCTACACCCTTATCCTTTGAGGCAAGTACAAGATATTTTGCCTGAATATAGAGTAGCACGTGTTGAGTCTTGTGAATGGTTAATTGATTTGCATAATCGTAATCCCAATTTTATGTTAAGGATCATCATTACGGATGAAGCAACAGAAATGGGGTTTTCAACATGCGCAATTCACATGTTTGGGCAGAGAAAAATCCACGAGCAACCAAAGTCACTCATTACCAACACTCATTTAAAATAAAGGTTTGGGCTGCTACACTGGGCAATAAGATTCTCGGGTATAACATATTTCCTGGAAATTTAAATGCAAATTTATATCACGAATTTTTTGGAAAACACTTTTTTTATTCATACAACATATTCCACTTAGAACTAGGCGCAGACTTTGGTTCATGCACGATAGCACCCCACCGCATTATGGCAGACAACCTAGGCAATGACTTGGTGACAAATTTCCAAATTGATGGATTGGTCGTGGAGTTGACGCTTCTATTCATTGGCATGCACGATATCCGGATTTAAATCCGTTAAGATTTTACTGTCAGGGGTCAAATTAAAGACAACGTACGCAACCCCAGTAGATACTGTAGAAGAATTGAGACTACGGGTAGAAAATAGTTTTGAACAATTATCATATCAAGTAGATTTGCGCAGAATTATGTTTTCTTTAGAGAAGCATTTGCGCGAGTGTATACGTGTCAATTGAGGACACTCTGAACAGTTATTGTCATAGTCTTAATTTTAATTAACCTGTTTTTAGGTAATAAAATTTGTTTTTTGGTAATTCTCATTAGTATTTGCAAAATATTATATCACATAATGACTGATGCTGCGACATGTAATTGAAAATATCTCGAAAACAGACGCCTCTGGGCAAATTAAACAAGTATACCTTTTTTGTAGTGTTTATGTCAGGGACTACAAAAATTAAAAGAAAAATAAAAAACCTAACCGCAATTTATCTCTAGAGTATAAAATGTTACATGACCCCTATTAGTACGGCACTGGATTGTGAGAATGCACTGAAAGTTTGTCTGATTATTGCTCTTTCTAAGTATTCTTGTATACAAAAACTGAATTCCGTTGATTCACTCTGTTAAAAGATATGAGTAAATGAGTGATTCACTAGTCGACCATTTAACACCCTGTATCTTGTTAAAGTAGTATATTCGGAAAAAATTATTTAGGTTTTCTTATTATTTCGATTTTATCTACACTCCGTTTAATTTATGGTACTCAATTTAGAATCACCTTTATAGTAGAGAGCATTTAATTTAAAAAAAATCGGCTCCGTGGCAGTTTTATTGATAATATGGGGGAATGATTTCCACAGTATCACTTAGCGTGCGCGACAGGTGCTAATGATGACATAGTCAAAATAACAAAAAACCGAATTTGTATAATCTGCAAAACCTTCCTTATTCTTGAACGTATTTTAATAATTAGAAGGTCTCATTTTGTACCTACATTTCAAGCCTGAAAAATCTGTTTATTAACATATATAACGTACAGTATGTGCTTTCCAGGATATTACCACATTTAGGTACAAATAATATGCCTAAATATACCTAATGTATACAGTGTTCATTGTTTGTTTTACGGTTATGAAATTGTTTCTCTCTGTTTCAGGCACGAACCTCATGAAAAGTTGGCGAAAAGTTGGCCGCCTACAAGAAGTGCTTTCGACCCTAATTATAAGAAAGTCAACTACCAAGTCATGATCTGGAACCCAACAATTCTACATTCCGTTGGACATTGAAAGCACATGGTAGATGGAAAAACAACTCCGCTGCATTTTGCAGTTGATAAAATGTTTGTATGTCTGATGAACAGATGCAGTCTACACTCTAAATGTTTAGCAACCAACTTCAACCTCACTTGCACCGAGATATGTTTCTGTGGAGATGATGAACTGTGATACTGATTCTCATTCTGTACTGGAGGTTCCGAAAATGGAAATGATTTAGCTGAAGATGATATTCATGATTCGCGATCTATTAAAAAACCCTTATAAAGTATTGTCCAACTGAATTTAGTGACATAGCATTATGATCCCTTACTTAAATTAATCTTAGCTTAATATCATTTCAGCAGTTTTAATAAAACAAATAAAATAAATTAAAAATAATATATCTAATATTTAAATTGTTAAGAATTTCAACTATTTTTAAACTTTTTTTTTTTTAACTCACTATAAGTGTGCACTGAGGAAAATATATTTCCCCTCATAATCAATTCCAAAGGAAACAAAAAAAGATGTACAAAAGTCATCTGCCAATTCATATCAATTACTAATGGTACTTGAGTAAAAGACTGTTAATGCAATGTCTGTTTCAAAGTGAATTCTATTTATAGGTATGTGCATGCATATGTACACATATACATTTTAATTATATTAATCCCTTACTGGAGAAATAAGAACTACATATCTGTATCTTATTAAATTATTAAATATTTACGTCACAATAGCAAGAAAATAAATTACGTTTCAAATTCAATATTTCAATATTTATTACAAATTCAGGATATTTAAAATTTTATTAGTTCACTAGTCAATACTTAGATAGATTTACTACAAACTAGTTTTTTCATTATGTCATCTATATAAAATAGTATTCTACAGTTTTCATATGAAACCCTTTATATCAGGTCTTTTGTTTAAAATGAATGCGATTCTCGAGGACGTTCATACAAATGTTTTTGTTTACAATGTGATTAAATAATAATTTTTTGATATTTATAAACGAGAAAAATTTAAATAAATATCTCTATTTAAGTAAATATATTTTATTGTTTTTATTTATTTGCTTTATTCAAGTTACGTGGTAAATGTGCTAACTGAAAAAATGAGTCTCTAGTCCAACTACAATCTACGTTGTTTTTTGAAATATTCATCAATCATTTAAAACTATTTATCCACTCTAAGGTATACAGGAAGAAAGTGCTTTTATAATTGTTTGAACCTTATCAGATCGGAAATTAGCGTAATTCGTCAGTCAGGCTCGAAGCAAAAGAGACTGCTTTTCTCTAAGCAGGTGAACAATTAAATTTTGGATTCCGCAACTAGTACTAAATGGAGAATTTTATTTTGGGGTAATTTAATATACATAGATCGGACCACAACTACTATTATATATGGATACATAAATGTGCAGCCTTGACACGTGACGATAAATTTAGTGTGACAAGATACCATCTATTCACAGCATTGAAAAAAAATTGTTTTATTGACCTTAGAGTTCTCACAAAAATAGAAAAACTCAGTGACTAAATTCTGTTTGGACTTAGTGAGCCCGATTTACAATGGTCAAAGTAGCGAGTGTATTGTAGGTTGCTTATTTCCAGGCGCAATAAATATATTATTAATGGGCAACGCAGCGAAATCTATAGTTCACGCATTTTGTTTCCTATTCTGGCTAACGCTGCAAAGTTAAAGTAAATATAGTATAGTTTCATCTCCACCAGTTTCATGAAAATATATGTTCCATCCAAGTAATTTTCGCATAGTATGGATGGGGACTCATTTTTGTTTCGCGTTAGTCGACTGGCATCTTTTGTTACAACATCTGATATATTGCCCTGGGTTCTTCGTATAACAATAAAGTACCCTCCAGTTTCGTATTCGAGGGTTGTACCTCCCTCAGTAAAATAAGAAGAATTTAAAAAAATCCTGTTTTAAATTTATTATTTACTTATTCAATGGGGATTGGGTTGTGGCCCCCCTTTTTTTTTTTTTTTTTTCCCCTTAAATTAAACCACCCCCCCCCCCCCCCCCCCCTTTTTTTTTTTGGGTTCACCCCCCCCCCCCCCCCCCCTGGTTCCCCCCCCCCCCCCCCCCCCCCCCCCCCCCCCCCCCCCCCCCCCGCGCCCCCCCCCCCCCCGGGGGGGGGGGGCCCCCCCCCCCCCCCCCCCCCCCCCCCCCCCCCCCCCCCCCCCCCCCCCCCCCCCCGGGGCCCGCCCCCCCCGCCCCCCCGCCCCCCGCCCCCCCCCCCCCCCCCCCCCCCCCCCCCCCCCCCCCCCCCCCCCCCCCCCCCCCCCCCCCCCCCCCCCCCCCCCCCCTCCCCCCCCTTTTTTTTTTTAATTGTTTTCTGTGAAATAATTTTTGAAAATTTGTGATTGATTTTAGTAACTAAATGCAATGTTTAATTTTGAGGCACCTAACAACATAACCACTCCATGATGCCAACAAAAAAACGGGTAAAATCGGTTGAGCAAATTAAAACTGCAAATTACTGTAAATCGGGACAAACTAAGGTCAGATATTTTTGAATGAGCAAAATAAAAAAGTGGTAAAAATAGGGGCATACAATCAAATACTAATGTTTGATATGTGCAATACTATAAATTTGTGGTTCGACTGATTGATTCTAGTTCGAAAAATTAATTTTTGTTGTTTGGTAAAACATTTTAAAAAGCTTATATTGATAGATATAATCTATGGAATGATTTGTGATAAATTAAATTGTATGGCTGATCGTTTTATTGGACTAAAAAGCAGAATATTTCAATGAGAATTTAATGAAATGTGTAGTGCATTTTATAAACTGAAAAAACTGAATTTTCCTCTTCATGAAATTGTTGTAAAATTACGCGATCTATACAAAACAGAATGAACCACATTAGATGCTTGAAGTTTGTGAACTAGATTTTCACCAAATTGAAACACAGTATTAAACCATATAATTTATTTATTGTTTTATTCTATTAACATGTTTTCTTAACCGCTTTTTAGGTCACCGAAATAACCCCTTGAAAATCTAGGATTTTGTATTAGGAAGCAGAGAGAAAATCCTACAGTTTATTGTGGGGTTCGAACCATTTTACAAGTAGATTTCATTTTACTGACAAATAAGAATGTAGCTTCGTGGTCTAGAGGTAAGGACATTTGTCTCTCATCCTAGAGTCCCGGGTTCAATCCGCGGTCGAGGAACTAGGATTTCTTCTAAAACCAGAAATTAATCCCAACATACTCGGATATTGGGTGTGTGTCCATTGTCTCTCAATGTGTTGCCCTCTCCCATACAAGGGTACCTTGAAGTACCTTCAGGGATACAGGGGGTTGTATTATCTGTGGTGTTTAATTAATTAATTTTAAAAAAATTAACATAAATAAATACGTCCGGTTTTATTTTTATTTGTATTAATTATTTCATAAAGTGGATAAAATAAATTGTCTGGTTGAAAAAATGTTCAGATAGTTACGTGAGGTGTACAATTTATTATGTTTATACCGAGGGGTAGGACACTTCTTAAAAAAGTGTACAAATCTTGTAAAAGTATTTAATAAATACATTTAAATAGATTTAAATACGATTTAAATACATTTAAATAGATTTAAATACATTTAAATAGATTTAAATACATTTAAATAGATTTAAATACCAACATATATACTTAATAAATTCTGTCAAGACATGTTCACGTATGCATTTCATTATACTGCCGGCAATTATAGGTAATAGTCGCGTTTTAGTGGTGTTGTTTATTTATTTTCCAGTGACCTGTTATAAAATAAAGCTAAGCTGACAGTGTTTATTATTATTATTAGATGTATATATTACAAAGAAAACTGGAAATTATTACTTTAAGATAGAAGCTCTCTTTGTTTTCCTGGAAAAGATTTTTTTAGTGTTGGATATTTTCAGTTAAAAGAAATTTGCACTTGCATTTCATAATTGCAAACAATTTAATATTTTACTAGGTGTTTTACAGTTGATTGTCTAAATGCGTGGTGACCATACTTACTAAGTATATTGAAATAGAAATTTAAACCCCTTAAAAAAAAAATTAATATATACAAATGCGTTAAGGTGAAATTTGTGGGTTGAAGAATAGTTTTTTTTTAAATTACGTTTTCTTCTTCATTTTCTTTGTTTTCAATAAGGTATCAAAATGTTATGTATAGTGGCGCAAATTAATATTGCAATATTTTGTACATTATTTCTCAGATCTCGGTATTATCTCTTGTGCATTATGTTTTGCTTGGGCTACTGTACTACTGTACAGGGTGTCCCAAATTCGAGCTTCAGAAGTTTTAATCAAAACATAAGCTACAATTGTCAGTTTTCAGAGAGATCTTCAGTTTTCCGTGATTTAATATTACTTATACGTATATTTTGCTTATATTAAATTTGGAGTTAAATTTTAATTAACTTTTTTTATATATTTTTGTAAATGTTTCAAAATAGAATCATAATAATATTGATATATGTAAATCAGAAAAAGATAATCTTTCCATTAACATACTCAAAACAGGGTATTAGTTGGAAAAAATAGCTTCATTATAGTGTCGAGACAGGAGTGTTGTTAGATTATAGTTATTATCTCGGTTATTAACTTCAATTGTTTCTTAGGTTAATGTCTAACAAATACATGCATAGTTTTTTAGTTAAATGCCTTCTTTCCCGATTAGAAAACACGAGACGTCGATTTTGGGTATACTCTACAGCTCTATACCACCCCTTATTTTGTTCATTATTATTACTGTACCTAATGTTTTCATTGAGGGGTTTTACTTTTCTCATAGATTACGAATCTGATATTGTATTTTTAAATACTTTTTAACTAGGTATACAAGGCATAACCGAGGGTCATATTTTTTAAATGGCATACTATGTTTCTAAATATTCAAATTCTCATTTTGAATACTTTTAACATTTATTTTTAAAGTAACTGATATATGTACAGGGTAGGGTGACCATACGTCCGAGTTTCCAAGGATATATTCTCTTTTTTGTGGCGTCCTCGCGGGTTTTCTAAATTTGTCCTAGTTTTGTGTAGGTATTTATAATGTACCTATTGATTAAAAATAAAATTTAACTCACTTCTTTTAACATTTGACGTTAACTTTAAAGCTATATTCCGGGTATCACCAGATGCCTACCTTGATCAATTTCACAGTGATGCTTTTTAAATTAAAGAACCTTGTAAAGAACCAAAAATATTAGAAAAAAATAGGTTCTTCTATCTATGTAAATACAAATAAATACACTCATAAATACCTAAATAGGTCATTATTACAGTTAAATACAATTAAATACCATAAGTACATTTGTATTTATAAATAGGTGTACAAATTTTCGGAAGTGTCCTACCCCTCGGTTTATACACTTATAAAAATTGTTCTTGTTTTGTATATCATACATATGTACATTTAAATGATCACGAAGCGAATAAAACAGTTTTATAAAGAACATTTAATTAACACGATATGGAATGGCTTCGTGAAGTGGATAGCCCTTACATGAAGCTAATAATTACAGGATGTGGGTAGGATATACACACTGATATGTAGAGAACGAATATTTATTTTTTAAACATTCCACGAACGCGTTTACTGTTAAATAATATGTTTAAATATTTACCGCTTAAGAATCTGAACGTCAAAATTTGTTATTACCGACCATTTCTAAATATTTATTATTTCAAATTGAGCAATATCGTAAACAGGTGTTGCTCGTGGTCATATTAAAATTTTGGCCTCTAGATTTTTAAGTGGAAGATAGTCACATAAGAAGTAAATAGATAATGACATATACTAGTTATACATAGACATGTATATTGTATATTTAACTTACGCAGGTCATGACTCTGAGGCCAACTGTGCCTATTTGATCGTGTCCTTTCTACGCCTCCATGTACTTAATTTTTTTTTTATTTTTGGAGTTATAAGATTAGTTCCTGGCTTAGTAACTTTTTATTGTCAAAAAATCATCAGTTGCAGTATTACCAATTTCTGAAATTTTAAGGATAATTGGAATATTTCAGAGTGTCTAAAATAAGAGCTGTTGAATATATAAAACTTAATATTACGGAACTACTGTATGAAGTTTATAATTTTTTTTTCAACAAAACACGCACGACGAAAGGAGTTATTATTTAAAAAAAAAGTACAGTATGTCCAATATAAATCTTGACGTGGCACATGTAGACCACCAACATCACGAATATATTAAAAACTTACATATTTAATATTTCTTCAACGTACTTATTTAGTGCTTTATAAGTTAATAATATGCACATTATAAGTATTCTATATTACTTAGCTGTATAACCTGGCATTAATCTCGGGCAATTTAATCCCAAAAAAATTGTCATTAAATTACTTGCTACATTTCTCAGATTCATTCCTTCGTCTAATAATGTAGTTTTATTTCTTTTAGTTTATACTCTCAGAATTTATAGTCATTTTTCTATATAAATAATAATATTCGATGACCTGTGAAACATTAACCTTGGCCTTGTATTTTCTACTTTATTTTTATATACTTAAAAAATAGCGTTAACATCTCTTGGTAAATGTTGGTAAACTGTCTCTCAAAGTAACAAAGTATCCCAATGATTCTAGGATTTGTGTTTAACAAAAAAAGAGGCAATGCTATGCAGCTTGTTGTGGAAATCAAACCAGATCTTGGACATCTAGAAAATTAACTCTTCGGCAACACTAGTTGCATATCTCATTCAATCTAAAAAAAAATCTTCCAATATTTGGGTATTGTTCAACAAATTTGAACTCCGCATTATTTTGAATACGCCCCTTTGCAAAATGATTTGAGCTATCAATATTCTGGGCTCATTCAGTTGATTACGCTCGCCTTACTAAACGAATGAATGATTTGTTAAATATTTTCATTTTAGTTTACATAAGTTTTACAAGAGGTAGCGGACTGCCAAACTTTATCATACATCTTCAGCTCTTTCATGTATAACAACTAGGGCTATCAATAAACGATAATAAAAAATTTACTATCATCTGGATAGTAAATATATAGATAGTCTAGGTGATAGTAAATTTCTCAACACTGGAAATATTGTTTATAGCGTCTACTTACATACATTCTTTTCCTAATTTGCATATGTAGACATGAAAAAAATCTATTTTCTTCAAATCGGTGCATCCGTTGAGTGTCTTTACTGTGCCCGAACACCTTTCCGCTGATAGTACAAGAAAGCACCTTTACATTTATTTTTGAAAATGTAACAGCGTAAATTATTTAAGGGATATTTTAACATAAATATTTATTGTTCAAGTTTTCGGTAAAACATTTTTATGAATTTTAATTTTCTATATTCTGCCTCATCTGTGATGTTTTTGTTAGAAGAACAATTCTTTATTTGATGATAATGATACTATATTCAGATTTACAGGATCGCTCATATTGATTATCGTGATTAAGTCATGGAAACTATGGTACCGTTAGTAAAATTCCAGGCAGGAAACTTTTGGAATTAACTGGGTATTCTATTTATTTAATAAAACTTTGCATAAAAATGTAAAATTTGTTAATTAATATATAAATATATGTTCGCACTTCTTGCTACTCGGCAACTTTACAACAGTAAAACTACAATATTCTCTGATTTATTGTTTAAGATGAACTAATAAGATTATAGTTTGTAATCTTATATAACTCGTTTAAACCTATAATAATCCCCCCGCAGAGGTATAAAGATAAATCCCTTGCTTAGTTCTAAGGTCATAAAATGGAAGACATCCGATTTGATGGCCATCTTGTTCTAGCAGCTCTTTCTCAGTGATGATCTAACGACATGGTTGTAAACCGATCTGATGTGTGTAACCTCAGGCACTTTACAACCGCCATAAACTTCAGTTACCACTTAATTTATATTCTTGTTCGGCTATACTTGAAGAACCCTTTATGCCAATAATAAAAGGGAAGGTCGACTTGTTGCCGTTTTTACGCAGTTCTTAATATCCGCCTATTTATACGATATACTATACAGGTTGTCTGAAAATGTGTGGTAAATATTTTATTATTATTCACAAACTTATTCGAAATTATTCTCATTGGATTAGATACATGAAGCACTACGTTCAATGGCACATATTTTTTGGTTATTTCTAATTCTAACCGCAGCTTGATGAATTATCTAGATGTTTGATATGACTACACACATACAAATTTCCTAATG